AAATTTCCAGTTTATTACTCGCTGACTTTTTAAAAAGAAAAAATAATTATTTGAAAAACTTTAAATTACATATTTAAGAAAAAAAAAATCAAATATTAGCATATTTTATAATCTTTTTTAAATTTAAGTTATAATGTTTTTTATTCGTTTAGTATGGACAAAACGTGACAAACGTCGAGAAAATAAACAAATGTTTTTACATTTTAAAAAACGAAACATTCCAAAACATTTTTAAATAATAACATTTCTACATAAACTATTTAAAGTAGTTTTGCGGTAATTAAGTAAATTGGTGCAGTTAATGTCGATAAATATGAAAAGCAAATAAAAAGAATTTAATGACGTCAAAAATCACGTCGTGCTTATGCGTCGCGCAGTTCTTATTTATCGCAAGGCCTGCATTAGCTTCATTACATGCCACTTTAGAGCCAGCAAAACTAGCAGTGGAATTCCTTAGAAGAGAAGATGCAATGTTTTTGACAGCAGATACTGTTCTTGAATTTATGCTTGCAAAACTATTTGTTATGAATACTGAAACTGCATCATTATTGCATTCAAATTTAAAAAAGTGCATCAATGAAAGAATTAGAAAATAAAGGTGCCTAAGAGATCCTTCAGTTGTTAAATTAAAAATACTTTAAATTTTGCTAGAAAACTTGCGTTAAGGCTTTTTAGAAATACTTCTAATGGCAAGGAACTACTACTAGCTAAAGCATCATGTACAACATTGACTACCCTGATTCACCTGTTCACCTGTTTCACTTAAGGATGAATATGAGTAAACACACTTCTCAATAATGATAGCATCACAGGCTAAATTTACTAATCAACTCAAATGGCTTAAGCAAGAGTTTTTCTTGTACTAAAATACAGGCAAAAATCTTGAAAAAATTTACAATGCGATACTCTCTATAAAGCCCACCTCAACAGATGTCGAATGCGTTTTTTCGAGCTGCACTTGTTTCTGCACAAAATTCAGATCATGATTATCTGATGAATTGCTAAAAGGAAGGTTTTCTTAAAATTTTTTTACAATAAAAATAAGTCATTGTAAGTTTTATTTCAAAATATAAACATAATGTTAGAACACTTTGTTTAAATAACTTTTTAAATAAATAACGCTAGATAAACTTACACAAGTTTTATTATTTAACAAGAAAACCTAAAACCACGGTTAACCGCGGGTTTTTTTTTTTACTTAAAACTGAAACCACGATTTTTTATAAATGCGGTTTTTTGGAAACCCAACTTTTTCTAGACAATTGCTGGAAAATTCTGAATATATCAGAATCTGAAGCAATATTCATATATCTAGACTGTCAGTCTGATAGTTCTTTGAATTTCAAAAAATTATCAAGCTTGTGACATTTTTTTGGATAAACATACAAAATTTATTTAAAGTAAAGCACTATTTTTTTTTTTTTTTTTCCTAATTGAAAAAACCTTATTTAACTTAATTGAAAATTAATTTTTTAAATTAATTACCCAGTGGCGTAGCGAAAGTGCTCATTTGTGTATTTTAGAATATTGAATAATTTTATATTGTTGGTATATATAATTTTAAATGGTGTCTCACTCGAAAAAGTGTTTTAATCACTTTTGAAGACAAATAAAGATCACTTAATAAAAATATATTAGAAATTTAACAAACAAAAATGGTATGAAAATCAAAAAGAATTTTAAACAATTTTTCATAATCAGTGTTAACAATATTGTCATTCACTTTAGTGTCATATATTTGCCCTTGTCTTGTTGACAATGATTATTACAATTAAATTTGACAATAGTACCCAACAGACATCTTTTCTCACATGCATTTAGATATCATTTGTTCTAATATCTATCTCTGTAACCATGGCTGCCCACCAAAAAGAATCATACTAACAAAATATCACTAAAAAAAAATCATAATAATCATACTTATTTGTAGAGTTTAAATATTTTTAACTATTTTTGTTTCTTGAATTTTTAATATGTTTTTTATAAGTGCTTTGTTTGTCTTCAAGTTTATTTGTTTCAGTTTGAAAAATATGAAAATGTTTTATAAGTGATAAATTTAAGTACACTTGAAATGTTTTTGATGAGGCAAACTCAAAATTGTTATATCTTTGAAACCAGTAAGAATTAAATGATAAAATTTTGGGGATGTTTATAATTTTAAAAATTTTTAAATGGTGTACAAATAAACAAAATCCTTGACTAGTTACATTTTACGGCAAATGGTTCACATAGAATTGCCCCCAACTAAGAAATAATGTAAATTATCTATAAATAAAAATTTTTAAATTCTATTCTTTAAAAATCTATATTTGTTAAAAAAAATTGAAATAATATCTATATATTAAAAAACATACTATAAAATATATCTAAGTGCAGCATAATAACTCACAACTCTTTGCTTTTATTTTTTGTACTTTGCATTTTTCAACAGTTTTTTCTTGATTAAAAAAAAAGATATGGCTAATGATAGCTGATTGACATTAAACTTCCTTTTTTTATTTATTTAAATTTATATTTATATGTATATAAAAAGTATATATATTTAATTTTTGAAATATATATATATATATATATATATTTTAATGTTCTAACCTACCTTTAAAAATTAGAACGAGAAAAAATAATGGTAATGGGAAAAATTTTATTGAAAAATCATGTGAGACAAGACTCGTTAAATGGCGAGAAATTCTGAAATAAACCAAGCAGAAGAGAAATAGATTTATTCTCTAAATTTCTATGAATTTTTCGAAAATTTTATACAAGTTTATTATAATTCGATTTTTGTAAACTTTATTTTATGAAAAAATCAATGCTTTATTATGCTTTTTATGCTTGATATACTAACACTACAAGAAATTAGGATTTATGAAGTGTCATATTTACTTAATAACAGTAAATTGGATCCAATCAGCATCTGTACCCATTGCGCCTTCTACTGGATAATCAATAAATAAACATTTATATGTCTATAATTTATATTATATGTTTATATGTTATTTTATATGTCTATGTGTGTCCTATATGTATTATGATTTATATATATATATATATATATATATATATATACATATATATATATATATATATATATATATATATATATATATATATATATATATATATATATATATATATATATATATATATATATATACACTTACTAAAGCGTGTTTTAATAAGCATTTTCTCACTTTTTCTACTTACCTTAAGCTATACCGTTTTTTTCGAAAAAGTAGAAGAAAAAACAAAGAATGATGAATAAAACGATTGCTTCCTCATCCAAACCCTCAGTTGATGTAGCAGCACTCCATTGTGAGTCATTTTTATTTATTGTTATAATGAGATGGTAACGGTAAATTAAAAAGTAAGCGAATGTCTTTCGAAACGGTAAATTGCTTTGTTTCGTCAACCTCGCTAAAATTAACCGTTTAATTCCGAGATGCAACACAGGCTTGGTCGGGAAGCGGGAGCGATCGCTCTCAATTGCTGACCACATAAATAATATTTAGTTGCGAAAAGCTAGCCAGATTTTTTAGTCGTTTTGAGAACATTTTAAAAAGCAAAAAAAAAAGCGTTCAATATTAATTGGACCGATGAGAGACAATTACAAAAAAAATAAATAATTAGGTAAATAAAATATCTTTAAACGCGAAAAAACTTAAAGCTAAATAAATTACGTTTAAAACAAATATTTTCAAAACATCGCTCTTTTATAATTTTTTTTATAAAATTAAGCGATGTTTTTTATATAAAGTAACAACTTACGATTGTTTAAAAAGAAAACAAATATTCTTTATTTAACAAAGTTTTAGTTTTATTTTAGCTAAATTATTTTATAAATAATAAAGTTAATTTTTTCAATACCTATTTTATGTTTCGCGTAGTTTGAAAAGTTTAACATATTTGAAGCAATTCTTCTTAGTAAGATAAACAAATGAAATAGTTAAATCATAGAAATTAAATTAACATTATAGAAATCAACTTAAGATTAACAATACTTTATGACGAGGATGCGAAATTGCTTCACAATATCGCTGGTGATGTTTAGTGAGTGGGCTTTTTAATTTTAATTAGTATTTAAAGCAGAAAAAAGTATAACAAGTTTTTAGAATGGCAACTTAAGCGAAAATAATTAGAGTTAGTAAACCAATATCTAGTAAGTTTTCTTTATATCTAATTATTTGCTATATATATTTGTGTTCTGTCGTGACCTTAGGCGCGGTGCTTGTTCATCTGCGAGTTACTTTGTACGCATTGTTTGTGTTTAGTAACGAGAAACTTCTTATATGTTTGTTACATAATTAGTTTTATTAACTATAACGATTATAACTTCATTGAAAACGCAATTATTTTTGTAAGTCTTTGTTTAAATCGTAAAAATTACTTTAAAAGATACATTATGATAAAAAACAGATGAACAAAATTAAATTTACATAAAGAATACATACTTTTTAAATAAAAAATAAGAATATACTAATAAAATCTATAATTTATAACATTTTGACAATTTAATATATATTTAAAACTTTTATTTTTGTAAACAAATAATATATTTATTCTTAAAACAATTTATGCTAGAAATCTCAAAACGTAACATATTGTTTCTAAAACATTTTTTAAAACATTTCAACAGAATACTCTAGAACTTTATTTCGCTAAGTCAGCGTATTTTTTGAATCAATAGAATTAGTTTCTTCGTTAATTTGGCGGGTTTTTAGTGTTCGCGAATATTCTTTTTATTCTTTCGCACAAAGATGTTTTAGGAACATTCAAGTTTATTATGTTTCCATGTATGTCCGTAAAACAAAAATTTCTTGTTTCGTTCATTAACTTAAATGTTCTCAAAATGACTAAAAAACCTGGCCAGTTTTTCGCAACTAAATATAATTTCCGTGGTCAGTATTCAAGAAGGATTGCTCCCGTTTCCCGACCAAGCCTGGCAACAGCTTAATTCACCTACTAAACACTTTAATGTAATATAAATATTTTTTTATTTTTAGTTTTTACTGATTCAAATTTTACTCAATTGATCATCTGTCAACACTTAGGGCAAGCATAGAACTTTACCCAATTGAGGTAAAAATAATTTGTTTACTTGTAACATGACAAAACCAGTTTAAACGGACAATAGCTATTTTGTACTACTGTTTTTTTGTTATGTTAACAATAATAATTTTTGGTATGAATATGTTTTGTAATATTTAACCCTTTCAGTCCATGTGGCCCGCTATGCCAGCCATAACATTTGTTAATAATAATATATTTAAGCAGTAATTATTAACATTGTAATAGTAATATACTTAAGTAGTAAAGGCCCCAACGAAAATTATACTTTTTGCAAACCTGAACCTGGTAAAATTGTAATATTTAGCAGGAGTTGATAGCCAGGGCTAGGTAAAAAATTGTAATACATTATATATTATAAATTTATGCATACATTTACTATTTGTTAAATACTGGCATATATTTATTCATTTTTTTTAACTAATTCACTTCCAACAAGGTTGCAAACAACTACTATTAAGTTATGAATTACTAGAATATAGAGGTAGGGTTAAAGAGCAAGGAAACAGTTAACTGAATACTTAAAATGTTGTAGGTTGTATAAGTCAGGAAAAAATGAAGACGGGTAAAAGTTACTAGGTTTTGTTAATGTGCAAGAAAAAAACTGGATTAATAAAATTTTTATACCATGAACAGACAGATGCAGCAAAAGGATATGACTAGCTCAATAAGAAGCCAAGTAAGGATAAGTTTTGGTTATTAAACTAGCGATGATAGCTCATTTGAGTATTAAGCAGTATTTTTTAGAAAAATGAAAGAAATGCAATTTTACGTTAATGGGAGCGGCTCAAGCTTGGCAGATAAAGCAGGTTAAATTACATTTACAATGTGCTTTATAATTTGTCTGAGAGTGAAAAGGTTGTTATTTGTCAATATAGGAATGCACACAATATTGTAGTAGTAAATAAGTTAGTTTTGTTGTCTAACAAAACTTATGAATTTTAAGTCCTGACTTTAAGTCCAAAAGCCACTGCAAGCCCTAAGCTGTTTCAGAAGAGAGATCAGATCAAAAGTTGGCTGCTTGTTCTAAGCGATCAAAAAATAACTTTTGGTCAAGACAATAGTATAAAGTTGAGTTGTCAGCAAAAATTGCGTTAGTATATAATTGTAACTTTTGTACGTATTTGTTCTATTTTTAATATATTATCTCTCATATTTAAATATAATCTTATAATTTTCTTGTTTGGCAGAGTTTAAAATAGCCTAAGTTACTTACAACTTAAGTTATAACTTAAAGTTTAAGTTGCAGTTGTAATAAGCAATAACGTTTCTAATACTATTAAGATATTTCTTTAAGTATATTTTTACTAAACATGGTTAGTAAAAATATACTTAACTTTTACTTAAAAAAGTAAAAGTAAAAAAGTAAGAGAAAAAGCAACACTACAATATCTAAATCACTTTAATTAGTCAAAGAAAACTATTTAATACGTTCATGCTGACGTTAAAACACGTGTTAATTTTAATTGTTAAAAACTATAAAAGCTTAAAACAAACTTCAAAATTGTTTTAAAAATATGAAGAGCCTGGGTTAATGTAAAACAGATTTGTGATGCTGTTTCGTATTGATTTATACGTGTTATAAAATAAAACGCGTTTAAAATAAAATGAAGCAAATAAATAAAATTGATCTAGTTAGTAAACTAAAACAAAACTTCATATTTGCGCCTATAGACCTATACGAGTTTATAATCTATAGACCAAACGAAACAAAAAAACATTAAATACCACGTCTTATATAAATTATCGTTTCCTGATCAAGCGTACTATTAAAAATTTAAGTATAATTAAATTTTTCATTCAAATGGTTTTTAAGCTGATGTTTTCATTCAATTTTTTTTTTGTTTCAATTGTTTTCCAAAAAAAAGTGAATTAAAAAATTTTGTTTAATAAATCGAATTATATTAAGTATAAGAATATGCTTAAATTATTTTTTTGGAAAAAAAATTTTGAACAGAAGTAAAATAATTTATTAAATTTCATTTAAATTTTTTATAATTTTTATTTTAACTTGCAATTTGCAATCACTGCTTTGATGTTTGCAATAGAATGTTTCTACTTTTAAAACTATTTTCAAGAAAAACTATATAATTCAAAACGTTAGAAAAATTTACGATTTATGAAAAAAAAAACTTTCTTCTCCATTCTCCCTTGTTTCATCAAACTTTTTTTCAATTTTTCAATTTTTGTTTCAATTTCAAATTTCAATCACAAAATTATTTGAATAAGTGAATTTTAAGGTTAAAGTTCTCTTGTTCAAATAGATTTCTTTTTAAATAAAATTCCCAAAAACAACTTGCGTATTTATAGAAAATGTTTAGTCACTATAAATAAAATAAAAATATTAAAAAATTGTTTCGCGTTTTTTATATTCTTTTCGACAGTTTTTGTTAAAATAATTATTAGTTAAAAGCTTATATTATGTGTTAACAAAATGTAAGATCTAAATTAAAATATGTCTATGGCTAACTTTTGCGAGTATATTAAATAAATTAATATAATTGTTAAATTAATACTTGAGTAACTGTAAGTTACTATCTTAACTTAACTGTTTGTTTTGATTTAGGTTATAAGTTCATTTACTGCGATATACTCTATCCATTCAGTAAAGTTAACTAAATATATAACGATTCGCGATGGCGATACACTTAATTCGAGCCCTGATATATGTATATATATATATATATATATATATATATATATATATATATATATATATATATATATATATATATATCAAGCCTTGTGATGAATAAAAACTGCGCGACGCATAAGCACACTGTGATTTTTGATGTCATTAAATTCTTTTTATTTGCTTTTCATATTTATCGACATGCACCAATTTACTTAATTACTGCAAAACTACTTTAAATCATTAATGTAGAAATGTTATTATTTAAAAATGTTTTGAAATGTTTCGTTTTTTAAAACGTAAAAACATTTGTTTATTTTCTCGACGTTTGACACGCTTTGTCTATACTTAACAAATAAAAAACATTATAACTAAACATTTAAAAAAGATTATAAAATATGCTAATATTTGACTTTTTTTTTCAAATATGTAATTTAATGATTTTCAAATAATTTTTTTTTTTTTTTAAAAAGTCAGCAAGTAATAAACTGGAAATTTTAATATTGTACGAATAAAAACTGAGCAATAGCTAATATTTTTACTAGCGATTTTATATAATATTTATTTATTTATTTTTATTTATTTTCATAAAGCGGTTGATAAGCACAATCACTCGCATTACTAAAAAACTTTAACGAACGTTTTGAATAGATTTTAATGTTTACAAGGAATTTTATTTTTGGTAAAATAAAATAAAATGTTAGAATAAAAATCTTATAGGTATAAAAGACATATTTCAGCAAAAAAATTATTCTTAAAAATTATTATTATAAATTTTTCGAAAAACTATTGACGTTCTATCTTTCAGCAGCTGTTCTTGAGCATGCTTCGTTGAGTTTCGGTAACTTTTAACAAAAAAGCGATTGTTATTATTAAAGTAATTTTTTTCGAGTTACTTTTTACAAAAATTTTAATAGCTTTACTTTTTTATTGAATCAAGTAGAATACGTTTTAATATTAATCCTTTTAGATTTTTATTTACATTACCAATTTTTAAAATATTTCCTCGAAATTACTCTTAAATACTTTAAATACGTCTAACAGTTAATAAATATTTTTAAATCTATGGAATAATTTTAAAACCTAACAAACCCCCGTAAAATAATTATTAAAGTTAAAAATCTAAAACTAAAAGAAAGTATTTTTGTTCAATTTTATCGACAACTTTGCTATTGCTGAATAATTAATCTGAATTTTTTCTACTTGTAAATAAGGAGCATATTTAATTTTTTTGTAATTCAAACTTCTATATTAACAGCGTGCGGTTTTTTAAAATACATTATGAAATGTTAAAATAATCGTAAATTACTTCATTAAAATTCCGCTCAAAAATATCTAAAAATATCTTTAAAGGTATAGCAGACTATCTTCCTCGAAGAGAAAAAACTGTGACTGTTTATTTATCTGAGTGGGCTAGTCCAAAACCTGGCTGGCAAGAGTTTATATTATTTTTGGAGTATGGATGTTATGAAGCATGTCAGGCAATGCTAAACCTTCCTACTGAAAATGAAAATTATGAACGCCATGCTAAGTGAATATATCAATTCATTTGTATTGATTCGTTTAAAAACTGTTTACATTATATTTTATTGGATATATTACTGTTATGTAAATTGTCAAAAATTGAATACTTTTCAGAGACTTGCTTATGTAAACAAGTTTCTATATTTAGCAAGATTATTTTTTCAGGATTTGTTTCACAGCTGTAAGCTTGAAATAAAATTTTAATCAAAATTAAAAAGTTGTTACCCCTAAAGAAATTAATTTAGTAAACAAAAAAAGGAAATTGATCAAATGAGGCCTACGCAATTTACTATACATTAATGTGTATATTAGCTTTAATATGTTGGGTATTCAGTTGTTGTGTTCTGGCATTTTAATGAAATATTTTTTGATTTTATAGTTTCATATATGCTTAACCTAAAGGAGTGAGTTCCTAGTCCAAATTTGCACAATTTAAAGTCGAATCACACACCATCTGGTTCTTCATTACCAATTTTATTGGGTGTGCCACCTATATCTCCATGAAAAGAAAGTAGGTTGAGCTGTGTAATACAACCAAGAATGAATAGAGATTCCTAACAATCATTAGATCATGAGTTAGAAATATATCAGTTTACAAAAAGTCCAACATCTTTCAAAATTGGTGATGGCGGTGTTTCATTAAGGAATTGACAAAAATGTAAGTTTTTGTATAATATTATAGTTTGATCTTTGTTTCTCTAACCTAATAGTCTTTGTCTAATTTTATAAGCTAATTTTATCTCTAGTTTTATAGAGTTTTATATGTTTTTTCCTGTTGGCCATACAAATAAAGAATTTATGTTTAGAGTTTTAGTATGCTGTGCTAATTAAATTAGATTTGTTGCAATTAAAATATAATAATTAAATTAGATTTGTTGCAATTAAAATTATGGAACGGTTAAACAACTGGAAGAAAGAAACCTATTAGAAAGCTAAAGTGTACAACTGCACAATATAAGTATATTAAAGGTATAAATATTTTATCATGCTTTTTTTAATTTGAATAAATCTATTAAAATTAATATATACTAGCAGTAAGCAACCCATAATACGGAGTGGTTATGGGTTGTACGGGTTGTTACAGGTAATTTGGGTTGTTAGTAATTGGTTTCTTAACATAACTTTTAGCTTCATTTAAAGATACAATTAACCATTTATTTCAAAATGTTGAAACATTTTGGGCTAATCACAACAAACTAAATATACTATGACCTAAACTATATGCATAGAAAATTGTCCAGACCTTATTTTAAAATTGCGGAAAATTGTTAAGGTAACTAAGTTGTTAATAATTCTTTTTTACAAAAAGAATTTTTCTTAATTTTTATAAAAATGGTGAGAGCTTAAAAAACAAATATCACAAAAATTATTCCTAAATTTATACGTATAAAAATGGTTTTGGATATCCGGAAAGACTATAACTTAAAATATATCTGAAATTACGAAAAAAAACTAATCACTGTATACGGCTCCCATAATATTAATGCTTATTACTTTAGCTTTCAAAATATGGTAAGCGAGTATATCTATTTAGTTAACGTATATCAACATATATTTATTTCAGCATTCATCCCAAATTTATACTAACGCAGTAAATATTTAGCGAAAGTTGGGAGTATATTTCGCTTTGAGTTTGTCTTACCTTTTTATTATATTTTGTATAGGTCAGGTGAAATAAAAACAATTACTTTTAATCAACATTTTTGAAGGAATTGGTACGCCTTAAGCAAATACAAATTTTTAACTTAGCTGAATTAACTTAGGTGACATACTTAACTTACGTGAATACAAACTTTTAACCTACCTACCCAACATTTTATGATTTTTTTTTTAATTTTGTGTCTCCTTTCTTATATAATTGACCCACAGCCCTTCCATCCCATAATCGCCATTTGCAGACCCTCTCTACCCGTCAGAGTATTTTAAAGACGATCCCTAATGAGCTAAAAAGGTTATAAAACGGATGTTAAAACCATATAAAACAGTTGTAAATATATATATATATATATTTAAACTTGTGTTCACTTTTTGAAAAATTGATAAAAAAGCAAGTCATACATTTACATATCTTTAAAACAAATTTGTTTACATGATATATAGTTAAATATGTAACAAAAATGTTAAAAAAACCTATATAAAACACATTTTTCTTGAAAAACAATTAACGTTGAAGGCACTTTTCAAAATCAGTTATAACAGCTGTCATCTACAGGATTGAAGAGCCAAGCATAGCCTATTGTACAGAAAACCATATTAAAATAATTAAAAATATTTATTTCTTATAGGGACGACGATTAAATATATAATATTAAAAAAATTATGTGATTCTATACTAGTAGGAAGTATATATTATAGTAAAGTAAACTATTAAAAAAAAAAAAAAAAAGAACAGATTTTTACAAATTACATTATACATATTTTAATACCTTTTTAAAGAGAAGCATAACATTTTAAAATAGAAGCAAAATCTTTTTTTTTTCAACAGCATAATCTTTTTTTTTTCAACAACAACCTCCAATAAAAGTTTTTTCATTTTTTCTGTTACTTTTTCTAAGAGGAAATATAGCTATTAGTACAGAGAAGTATAAAATATACTGAAATGTATATGTATAACAGTCTGAAATTTTTTATGTTAAATACTTAAACGAAGTTCCAACTAAAATTAAAACTGATTTGTAAACTTACCCAAATCGATATCAGTTTGACATTTTTAAAAAACGTTATTATAATTAACCCTTCTAATAAAAAAAAACAGTAAAGTTTATTGAAGTAACTAAAAAGCACTAAAAAATGTTAAACTTGCTTAGCTAATTTAACATTATACATCTAATTCAGTTAAAGATCTGGTTTACCATACTTTTTAAAGGGATCCCTAAGTGCTATAAAGATATGATCTCATATGATAGAGCATTAAAAAGAAAAATGTTTGATGTATATTATTTTTTTCTAAAACGTAATAATGAACACACACTAACAAATTAATTTTCAAAAAAACGCTTTTCTTCAATTAAAAAAAATGTGCCTAGTCCAAAGTTTATTTACTCTATTGCCTCAAAAAACTAACGTTAGTATGTCAAATTAAACAAAGTAGACAAAATGTCATTATTGCAAACTTATTAATTGGTAATTAAATTTAAAAGTAAAGTCGTTTTTTTTCAACTAACACATAATTACTTACAAGAATAAGTTTTGTAGCATTTTGTGAAAATATATTTGTATATTTTAGACCACACGGGTAAAACCACAGATGTCCACTTTTTGAAAATTTCAAGTTTTATATATTTTTATGATATTTTAGTACTAAGCTATTTTAATTTAAAAATTCATAACAAAAAAAAATGTTTTAAGGTTATATGTTCGTTTTAAAAAAAGGGCAACTTTGAAACAACCATTATTATCCAATGTTTACACCATAAAAAACACAGTTGTCCAAATTATTTATAACTAAACCAATGATAAAAGCGTAAGTCACATGACTAACTTTTCCAATGAAGTCAACATTACTTTCAAAGAAAAACATTTTGTATTCTAAAAAAAGTAGAAAATGGACTCAATGATATTCTGATTCTGATCTTTTTAATTGAGAAGTAATTTACTTAAATTTCAAAAAAAAAAAAAAAAATGCCGTTAAAATAAACGTTTGAAACTAATATGTATACTATTCCAGGCAATACCTGTTTTATATTTTTAACACTAATAAACTTTAAATTCAAAAATTATATTTTTAATATAATGTAATTTATTTGTATTAATATGTAATTTTATTATAATGTAATTATAATGTAATATTATAATGAAACTGTTGGAAACAGATGGTCTGATGTTGTATGTTCTATGCTGCATGATTTTAAACTATCAATTGTCTCAAATGTAAAGGATATCAAATTGGTTTGCAATTTATGTGCTAGACAAAATACAAAATAAAAATTTTTCATTTAATTTTATTATCTAGAAACACTAGGCAATCTCACAAAAAACTATAACAATTCAATATTGTATAAAAACATGATACAAGAAAAATTTCTAAAATTTGCAGAGTTTCAAAGCCAAACTTCTTGGTTGTTTGTTCATTTGAGAAATGTTCACTTACAGAAATTGAAATAATAAAGGCTATTTAAAGTTTAATTATATGGAAAAATGGAAATATTTACTTTTATGTGTTTTACATCCCATATGTTTAGATTAATGATCGAAGTGCCTGATAAACTGAAACAAGCATACATAGCTCTGTTTCCTTTTTTTGTTAAAAATTTAAAGACTTACTTAAGCTAAACATTTTCTAAATGTACAAAATAAGATATTTGATCTTATTTTAGCATTTTTTTTTTTTTTAGTTTATTAAATTTTTCTTTGAAAATAGAAACAAAACATTTTTATTAACATTGTGTTCACAATTGGTTTCAAATCAAGTTTGTATAAACCATATATATGGTTTGTTTATATAAACCATATATATGGTTTGTATAAACCATATGTATGGTTTGTATAAACCATATGTATGGTTTGTATAAACCATATGTATGGTTTGTATAAACCATATGTATGGTTTGTATAAACTATATGTATGGTTTGTATAAACCATATGTATGGTTTGTATAAACCATATGTATGGTTTGTATAAACCATATGTATGGTTTGTATAAAACATGCCTATATTTTATACAAACTTGAAATAAAATGATGTAACACAGACAACATGGAATCATCTGTGGTAAATAGATAAAGTTGGGGGAAGAGATAAGGTTGCAATGCTATTTTGTATAAAGTTTCATATAATATTTTATTTAATATAAAAAACTTTTATATAATATTTTATTTGAATCTTTTTTGTTAAAAGAGGGGAGGATGGCTTTATTGGTCATCTCACACTTAGTACATTGTAGTTGTGTATTAAATTGTGTTACGATCTACCTTTAAAAAGATAAGTGCTCTAAAGGTTTACAAGCTGACGTAATTTATGAGTTGATGAGTTTACAACAGAAAAACCACAGATGTCCAAAATAAGTTTTGTTTTCAAAAGAACACTGTAAATATATAATTCTTGTATTTAGCACAAAAACTGCTTTTTTATATTGTGTAAGGACTAAAATATCAGAAAAATATAGTTTTAATTAAATAATTTATTAATAAACAGATATCTAATCTCACTAAACACTAAATTTCGTTTTTCTCAAAATGAGAAAAATATGCATGGTTAGCACAGATCGTTATAATGCCTACCTAGCTGTCTCAAGAACGCCATTTGTACGGAAAGTTAGCGTACACATTAAGGTACTCTGTGATGCAAATTTCGAAATCATTTAATTTTGTCCGCGGAAAATAATTTAATTCGAATGTTCAAATTTTGACTTCATAGTGCACCAATAAAAACTCTTGTAGAATTTGAACCATTCAATATAATTTGATAAAAATTGGTGCAAATGTAGCCAATAGTCACACCAAACTCTGGACAAAATTTCGGCCTGATTGGATGACTGCTGTAGGATTTATTGCAGTTTTTGTTGAAGTTTTTTTCAGTTTTTTGCTACTTATACCTCAAAGCGTTACCGATAACTTTGAAATTCGGTCACTTTTTTTAAAATAATTGTTACATGAGTGTTCTACTATGTAATACCAACAAATTTTTGTTATAATTATTTTATTGGTACATGTACAGTTTTCATTTTATAGACCAAAATAGTGATTTGCTACTTAAAACGTGATATGAATTGGCTTATGCCAATGGTTTTGACACAGCCTTCAAAGTGGAGGGGGTCAACCCCTCAATTTCTAAAAATAAAATCCATAATTTCTAAATTAATTGCCTATTTTTCTAAAACAAAAGGTCCTCGCAAAAAAAAAAGTAGAGAAGGACATGACCCCTTGGCCTCCTCGGCATTGATGGCCATGTATGCTTCTCTTGAATATACCAACATTTCCTAAGGTATAAACTGCTGCCAAAAAAAAGCTCAAAAAAGTGCCAAACCTGG